AGTTTATGGAAATGTTTATGAAAGGCATAAGACAGATCCTCCACAAACACTGCTTTGCTTCCATGTGGACCCATGTCCTTTCTTTGACATTTCTAGTCTTTTCCTTTACAAAGTGTTCTTCCTCCAGAGCATCACTGAATCACAGAATAAGCTGAGTTGGAAGGGCTCCACAAGGATGCTGAGTCCAGCCACTGACCCTGCACAGCACCATCACCAGGAGTCACATCATGTGCCCAAAAGAATTGTCCAAACTCTTTCAGGCTTGGTGCTGTGACCACTTCCCTGGGGAGCCTGTTCCAGTGTCCAACCATCCTTTGGATGAAGAATCTTATTATAATATCCAAACTAAACCTCCCCTGACCAGCTTCAGTCCCTGGGTCCTGTCACTGTTCACTGGTCACCACAGAGAAGAGGTCAGCGCCTGTCCCTCCTCCTCCTCCTCCTCTCACAAGACTGCAATGAGGTCTCCCCTCAGTCTCCTCTTCCCCAGGCTGAACAGACCAAGTGACCTTGGCTGATCTTCATACACTTCCCCTCAAGACCCTTCATCATCTTCATGGCCCTCCTTTGGACACTTTCTAATAGTTTTATATCTTATTTTGTGGCACCCAAGACTGCCCCCAGCACTGGAGGTGAGGCCACCCCAGCTCAGAGCAGAGCGGGACAATCCCCTCCCTTGCCCAGCTGGCCATGCTGTGCCTGATGTCCTCCAGGGCAGGGTTGGCCCTCCTGGCTGCCAGGGCACTGCTGGCTCATGTTCCACTTGCCATCAACCCCCAGCTCTCTTTCCACAGCGCTGCTTTCCAGCCTCTCATTCCTCTGTCTGTCCGTGCATCCAGGGTTGCCCCATCCCAGATGCAGAATCCAGCACTTTCCCTCATTGAACTTCATATGGTTGGTGACTGCTCAGTCCTCTGATTTGTCAAGGTCTCTGCTGGGCCTCCCTGCCCTAGAGGGAGTCAACAGCTCCTCCCAGTTCTGTATTATCTGTGACCTTGCTCAGTATCCCAGTCCTGCATCCAAGTCCGTCATGAAGATGTTGAAGAGCACAGGATGGAGCACTGTGGAACCCCACTAGTGACAGGTCACCAGCCTGATGTCACCCCTTTTCCTATAACCCTTTTCCCCTGAACCATGCTTGGGTACCTGGATGCTGTTGTGCACTTGGCATTGGAAGCCTATCAGGATGCAACACAATGGAAGTTCTCCAGGGTAATGACATCCTGCTCCATTCACTTCCCTCCTCTCAACATATTTTTAGCACAGCTCTAAATGTGATTGGGCATGTCCTGGTGCAAAAAGTGCCTTTAGGATTAGGGTTACTACTCTTTTGATTGTTCTGCTCACACTAATTTAATTAACCCTTCCCTTCCCTTTGCTCTTTCTCCTCCCTCTTCCCTTCCTCTCCTATTGTCTGCTGTTCTCACATTTCCATTTCCTCCTTCACCTCCTTCTCCTTCTCCATCTTCTCCATCTTCTTCTTCTTCTTCATCTTCTCCATCTTCTTCTTCTTATTATTATTTTTTCTTTATCTCCTTTTATCTCTCTCTTTTCTTTTCCTGGTCCTCATTCACATAAAGGACAGAATGGCCAGAGAAAAAAATCAGTTACTTTGTTCACTGTTTTGATTCATCATAGGATTTCTGACAATGAAATCATGATCCACCTCAGATTCTTTCATTAAACCAGGGTGCTTCTTGAATGAGAAAATCTTATCTTAAATTGTGAATCACAGACTTGCCTGGAGGTGCAATTTCAGTTTCAAGCTTTTATGTTTCTGATTGACTTCAGTTGATTAACAAATGTGATTTTTAAACTGAAATAACATTCCATGTGAGTTATATACTGGTTGAAGTGTAACTTTCTCACTCAGACAAGTCTACGAATATACAATTGACAGTTGTAGATTTACATCCTTTGAGGAACAGATACAGAAAGAAACTTTGGCATAATATACCCCAAACAGGGGAAAAAAAGTATTTTTTTAATCAGTGTTATCATATATTTTTATTTCCTATGAATATTCAAAGAACAGAACTAGAATGTTAGGGAAGAGTGTTCATGGAAATTTTGATTTAAAAAACAAAAAGCATCAGATTTACATGTTTCATTTTCAAAAGTATGCAAGAATCTTTACTTGGTGCCTTCTTCCCTAGCTTCACTCCTGATGCAGCCAACACTCTCACTGGACTCAATGAACTCCTGCCCCTCTNCCCTCTGGGGGAAGAACCTTTTTCTAATACCCAACCTAAATCTTCCCTGACACAGCTTCAGGCCATTCCTTCAGGTCCTATTACTGCTCACCAGAGAGAAGAGATCAGTGCCTGCCCCTCCTCTTCCCCTCACAAGGATGTTGAAGACTGCAATAAGGTCTTCCCTCTGTCTCCTCCAGGCTGAACAGACCAAGTGACCTCAACTGCTTCTCATACAGCTTCCCCTCAGGACACTTCACCATCTTTGTTGCCCTCATTTAGACACTCTCTAGTAGTTTAATGTCTTTATTATATTGTGGCACCCAAGACTGCCCCCAGCACTGGAGGTGAGGCCACCCCAGCTCAGAGCAGAGCGGGACAATCCCCTCCCTTGCCCAGCTGGCCATGCTGTGCCTGATGTCCTCCAGGGCAGGGTTAGCCCTCCTGGCTGCCAGGGCACTGCTGGCTCATGTTCCACTTGCCATCAACCCCCAGCTCTCTTTCCACAGCGCTGCTTTCCAGCCTCTCATTCCTCTGTCTGTCCGTGCATCCAGGGTTGCCCCATCCCAGATGCAGAGTCCAGCACTTTCCCTCATTGAACTTCATATGGTTGGTGACTACTCAGTCCTCTGATTTGTCAAGGTCTCTGCTGGGCCTCCCTGCCCTAGAGGGAGTCAACAGCTCCTCCCAGTTCTGTATTATCTGTGACCTTGCTCAGTATCCCAGTCCTGCACCGAAGTAATTTATGAAGATGTTGAAGAGCACAGGGCTGAAGATGGAGCCCTGTGGAACTCCACTGGTGACAGGTCACCAGTCCGATGTCACCCATTCCCTATAACCCTTTGTGCCTGAGTGGTGAGCCAGTGGCTCACCCATGGCATGATGTGTTTATCCAGCTGTGTGCCTGACCTTTTGTCCAGAAGGATACAATGAGAGACAGTACTGAATGCTTTACTGAATGGGAAGAGAACAGTTTCAAAAATCAAGGTCTCCATCC